TTCTTCTTCTTCTTCTTCTTCTTCTTCTTCTTCTTCTTCTTCTTCTTCTTCTTCTTCCTCCTCCTCCTCCTCCTCCTCCTCCTCCTCTTCTTCTACTTCTACTTTGTGCCCACCCTCCTCCTCCTCCTCCTCCTCCTCCTCTTCTTCTTCTACTTCTACTTCTACTTTGTGCCCACAGTTCTCCTTTGAGAATGTAAAGTTTCGGCAGCTTCAGAAGGAGAAATTCCAGATCACAAACAACGGTCAAGTCCCCTGCCACTTCTCCTTTATCCCCAAGCTGAACGACACGCAGTACTGTAAACCATGGCTTCGTGCTGAACCCTGCGAAGGTTATTTGGAACCAAGTGAGTCTGGAGAAACACATGGAAGTCCTATTCCCTCCCCCCTCTCCCCCCATGCCTCTTCGTGGTAGGGAGCTGAGGAGCTGAGTCCACCTTAAAGATTCAGTCTTGAAGCTTTCATGGTCTCCCCTTCTCCCGCAGACGAGACGGTGGACATCTCCTTGGACGTCTACGTCAGCAAGGACTCGGTGACCCTCCTCAATTCGCGGGAGGACAAGATCGAGGAGATCCTGGTCCTCCACCTGGACCGGGGCAAGGATTACTTCCTCACCATCAGCGGCAACTACCTGGTCAGCTGCTTTGGGACCTCCTTGGAAGCCCTGTGCCGGATGAGGCAGCCCATCCGTGAAGTCCCCGTCACGAAGCTCATCGATCTGGTAGGAAGCTGAGGGGGCCTCCTGGGATTTGGATGGCAGTTGAGCTCACGGAGCCTCTCACTTCCTCGCTTGCCTCCTTGCGCCGAGGGACTTGAGCCCTCCCAATCGCCACCTGCAGCTTTGCGCTGGCTTTTCCTGTGCGCTGTCCAAATCCTGCCGGTTCCTCCTCACTGAATCAGCAGATCTTCTGTTTCCATCTGCCCTTTAACCCAAGCTTCCCTTCGCGCATTTGCTTTTATCGCAGGCATTTCCCCCACCATCTGGCTTCTGACTTCCCCGTGGATGGTGGCTCCTTTCTCTGCTTTGGACTCGTGCCAGTAACACATTTTTGTGTCTTTTCTTCTTTTTTTTTCTTCTTCTTCTTCCTTTCGCCTCTTGCCTCCTCCGTGTGTTCTCAGGGAGACGACGGCTGCCTAGAACAGGTAAAGGGCAGGGAAGCATCCCCAGTTCTCTTGGTAGCCGGGGGGGGGATGACACGGGACAGAGGGGGCACCGAGCGGAGAGAAATGCAACATTTTTCACTTGGGGTGTGTGTGTGTGTGTGAAGCAGTCTGAATCGGGCTTATGGGATGGGGCACGCACAGCTCGGTGGCGGTGTCTGCGAAGGAGGTTGGAATCGTACCTGTGGTCCTCGACTTAACGGCCGTAATTGAGCCCACAATTTTTGTTGCTCAGCGAGACATTTTGTTAACTTGAGCTTTGCCCCGTTTTACGGCTGTTGTTGCCACGGCTGTTAAGCGAATCCTTGCAGATGTTCAGTTAGTAACCCAGTTGTTAAGTGAATCCGGCTTCACCCATTGACGTTGCTCGTCAGAAGCTCTCAAAGGGGGATCGCGTGAAACCCAGGACGCAGCAACCGTCATAAATACAAGCCAGTCGCCAAGCGTAAGAATTCTGATCACGTGACCCTGGAGAATGCTGCAGAGGTCGTAACTGTGAACAACAGTCACCCGTCACTTTTTTCCAGTGCCGTTGTAAACTTTGAACGGTCACCAAATGAACTGCTGTTAAGTCGAGGACTACCTGTGATAGAGGCACAAGGGATCTAGTGACACAGATCCTAAAAGGGATCTGTGTTAGCGGTGTGGTGTGGATGTTTTGAAAAAGACAAGTTTTAAACTCTTATCGGAATGAATAGCTTCCAGACTGCAGAACGTAGCAACTCTACTGTGGTTCGATCTCACCTTGATTTCGAAGTCCAGTTCTAGATTTTCATAAGAATTCAGATAAACTGGAAGCAAACGAAAGAAGTGCAGCGAAGATGATTAGTGGCTGGAAAGGGGAAAGGAGAGATTGTGATGCCTGGCCACCTTAATCCATAACTATTTCTAAACTCAAGAGGTCCTACAGCATATAGCGATGCTAGCCGTGAAGCCCAACGAGGTAGAAGGTTGATGGCCATCTGCAAAGGGTGGTTGGTGGAGAAGACAGCTGGACTTCATGGCCCCAAATGTTCCTTCCAATTCAGTGGCTTTAGCACAAGGGAGGACAACTTCCTTGATCACGCTCTGCCTGGAAAAGGGGTGTAATCAAATGATTTGATTATCGATGGGACTAATCAAGAATCGGGTGTGATCAATGGCAACCAGCAGAAGCACAGTAGGGTTCCTATATTGCCCGTCCTTGCTGTCATAGCTCTTGCAGAAATTTCTGCCGTGGAAGGCAAATACCGGCCGTTGCCAGAATAAGCAAATGGATGTCTGTCTTGCTCTCTTTTTTTTCCTCCTGTTGGAGCCGTAGCCACGCTTGCCATTTTGCTCAGGAATCAAGAGTGGCATTTGTAAAACAACCAGAGAAGCTTTAGTCCGAAGCCCGTTTAGATGAATCTACAAACCAAACGAAGGAACCCGTCTTGCTCATTGTTGGAAGCGCTGGGGCAACCGCTGAACAGTTTTTGTTCGGGACTGATCTGAAATGAGCTTGTGGGTTTGTTTGTTTGTTTTCCCTTCTCCTCCGATCCACCACAGGTCCTTTCAGGCCTGTTCTGTCCCCGTCGGACACACACACCCAAACAGCCAGCCGAGGGTTAAATAACTTCTCCACACTCCAATCCACAGATAAGAAAACTTGGCAGCAGCTCCGTAGCTGCCTGCCAAGACTTTTACTCAGAGAACAAAAAACAATACACACAGTTAGCAAATTAAGTCCACAGCAAACTACTTCGCCAGAGATTCAGCTTTGTCCGTCACAGAGTCCAAATGGCCACCACCTCCCTTTTATAGCCTGTGGGGTGTGGTCCAGTGACTCAGCTTAATCTCTGGCACGTCTCCTTTTCTGCTGCGCACGCTTGTCACTCCTACGCTGGCGTGGATCCAGCCACAACTTCTCTTCCTCACTATCCAAAACACCTGGCTCCTGGCCAATCTCAGAACCACCTGGCTCCTGGTCAATCTCTTCTCCGTCGGGAGACACCTGAGGCATTGCCAAAGAGGAGGGTCCTGGAGAGGGAGGCCTGGCCATCTCCTCTCCTTCATGTTCGGAGCCTTCTTCCTCCGATAAGAGGGGCTCACAAGACGGAGCCACAACAAGGCCTTCCACTTTGAGCAGGCCAATTTCAGATGGGAGAAGTCATCCCTGTGCTGCTACTAAAAAAAAGAACGATTCGCTCTCCACCTTCTGCCATTCCACTGAGAGGTTTTAATCAGCCCAGCCGAGACTGTGAAGAAAATGTAGATTTTTGCAGTAAGGGAGGTCGGTCTCATGTGTGCTCTCAGGGGTGCTACAAAGCAAAGAGGCAGCCGGTTGACCTTCCAGTGGTGGTGGTGGTGGTGGTGGGGACATAAAATAGGCCCTTCCAAGCATTCGGAGGTTCTGATGCCCAACCCCTTCGCTTTTCCATCAGGAGAAGTCTCTTCTGAAGATGGTGCCTCAGGATGAAGACTCTAGTGACCGACCTTTGCACATACCCAAGGAGATCTGGCTCCTGGTGGACCACCTCTTCAAGAATGCCTGCCATCAGGTGTGCTTCAGGGAACATCTAAGGCCTGGGGGGAGGGGGTTCTCCAAACTTGGCAACTTTAAGACTTGTGAACTTCAGCTCCCAGAACGCCATGCTGGCTGGCAGGGGAATTCTGGGAGTTGAAGTCCACAAGTCTTAAAAGTTGCCGAGTTTGGAGAGCCCCGATCAAAGTCCACCTGGCTTTACGCATCATCACGGTTGGTTTTGACGAATCGGCAATAAGAACTCAGCCGTTTCTTTCCTAGGGCACGGTTAGCTTTGCCCGTGGCAACTAAGCTCCTGCTGTGGTTGACGAATCACAGTAGTTAGAATTAATTACCTAGCGCAGGGGTAGGCAACCTTGGCTCTTTAATGACTCGTGGACTTCAACTCCCAGAATTCCTGAGCCAGCCTGGCTCAGCTAGGAAACCTCTCCCTTTCCCCTCAGCATGGCTGGGTCAGGAATTCTGGGAGTTGAAGTCCATGAGTCATGAGGGGGCCATAGTTCCTCCATGCTGGCTCAGGGATTCTGGGAGTTGAAGTCCACGAGTCATGAGGGGGCCATAGTTCCCCAGCCTTGCTTCTAGACCAGGGGTAGGCAATCTTGGCTCTTTTATGACTCGTGGACTTCAACTCCCAGAATTCCTGAGCCAGCATGGCTCAGCTTGGAAACCTCTCCCTTTCCCCTTAGCATGGCTGGCTCAGGAATTCTGGGAGTTGAAGTCCACGAGTCATAAAAGAGCCAGGGTTGCCTACCCCTGACCTAGCGTGTTAAAGCAAAGGCAAGCAGGCCTGTGTGATGTCCTAGCATGTTTCCTGAGTCCAACATGAATGTTACATGGAGCTTGTCTCTGGCAGGAGGATCTCTTCCAGACCCCTGGCATGCAAGAAGAACTGCAGGATATTATCGAGTGCCTGGACACCAGCATCCCAGAGTCCATCCGTATCCTTTTCCTGCTCAAGGGGACCAATCAGCTCAGCTGGTCTGGACTCTGCTTTTCTCTATCTGAGGCTTCAAGTCTCCTCGGTTGGGGTACAGGTAGTCCTTGAGTTATGGCCATAATGGAGCCTGCATATAATGGTCTTAAGTTGTAGCAGCCACAAAACGGGGCCAGGGGCCCGATCGATCTAATTTTATGTTTTTCGCAGTGATCATTAAGCAAACGCTACCCTTGTACGTGTGAACGATGGGATCGATCAAGCAAACCCATTTTCCTTCAGGGTTGTGGTTTTGCAGAAAAGCAGAAGGAAGTGCTGTTTTTTCACTCCAAATCATCATAAAACGCGGCCACAGGACACTGCAAAGAGCTATTCAAGGCAGCCGTGTCGCCGAGTGCCCAAAATACAGTCAGATGACTTGGGAGGGGGGGATTGGGGGAACTTTGGACCAGGCCAATAATCCTCTTTTTCAGGTAGGTCATAACTTCAAGGGTCGCCAAGGGAGCATTCATAAGCTGAGGTCTACTTGTTCCCCTAAGCCTGTGAGTTAGGTTGTAGGCTGAGCCTACCTGGTGAAGTGGGAGGAGGAAGCAACAAGGGGAGGAGCGGAGGGAGGGAGGGAGGGCGCTGCACCTGCTTGGGAGAAAGCAAAGTCCGGACATGGGTGGCAGACCCCCTTTTCCTTGACGGGGGACCCTCAGCTGGCAGCAATCACTCCGTGGCTGAAGCTCTGCTCATCTTCCTGGAGGCCCTTCCCGAGCCCGTCATCTGCTACGAACTCTACCAGCGCTGCCTTGACTGCTCCCAGGATAGTCGCCTCTGCCGGCAGGTAGGACCTCAAGCAGTTACTCGCCTAGGTTCATCCTGGTCACGTTTCCCACTTTCAGCAGTTGAGGGACCGAGTTTTGCTTCCCACTGGCATCAGTATCTCCAGCCAGGCCAACCCTGTCCCGGGGGAGTAGGTCACGGTCAGCAATTCCTTTGCCTTTGTCACTCTCCTCTCAGTCCCAGCATGGAGTGTCCATGCACAGACAGTCACACTGCCTCCTGGATGGGGTAAGCAGAGAGCCGGTATCGAGGGTCAGTACCGTCAGCGCCTCTCCAGCAAAGGCGCTGTGGTCGTAATTCTCACTCCTTCCTTTATAAGAGCCCTGGGGGCGCAGTGGTTAGAATGCAGTACTGCAGGCTAACTCTGCATTCCCACTGCCAGGAGTTCGATCCTGACCGGCTCGAGGTTGACTCAGCCTTCCATCCTTCCGAGGTCGGTAAAATGAGGACCCAGGTTGTTGGAGGGGCAATATGCTGACTCTATAAACCACTTAGAGAGGGCTGTAAAGTACTGTGAAGCGGTATATAAGTGTAAGTGCTATTGCTAGTGCTCTTGGTATCTTAAAAGATAAAGAAGTCCCAATCTGCATCTGGAGTTGATTAAACCATAACTGGTTTTTTGTTTAAAATAAAAAAAAACTGCTTTGGATGGTTAGAATCAAGGTTGACTGAGCCTTCCATCTTTCCAAGGTCGGTAAAATGAAGACCCAGATTGTTGGGGGCAAATTGATAACTCTGTAAACTGCAAAGAGAGGGCTGTAAAGAACTCTGAAGCGGTATATAAGTCTAAGTACCATTGCTAGTGCTCTTCCTGCTTTCCTTCCTTCCTTCCTTCCATAACTCTGTCAACCGCCAGCAGTTCGATCCTGACCATCTCAAGACTGACTCAGCCTTCCATCCTTCCGAGTTTGGTCAAATGAGGACCCAGATTGTTGGGGGGCGATAGGCTGACTCTGTAAACTGCTTAGAGAGGGCTGCAAAGCGGTACATAAGTCTTAAGTGCTATTGCTCTCGCTTGGCAGGTCATTTGTCAGTTGCCGCGCTCACACCGGAACGTCTTCCGCTACGTGATGGCCTTCCTGCGAGAACTCCTGAAATACTCGGAGAGCAACAACGTCAGTGCCAACATGCTAGGTGAGAACCGACCAGGTGGCCTGGCGCCTCTCCCCTCCCCTCTCCTCTCCCCCCACAACCCTTTATCTCACCCAAACGTTTGCTTCCTCCCAGCCACCCTCTTTGCCAGCCTCCTCCTGCGGCCTCCACCCAACCTCGTCTCCAAGCAGACTTTGCAAGATCGCCAGCGAGCCAACAGTTTCATCCTAGGGTTCCTGTTGGGAGCAGATGACTACTAAGGACCTGGCATGCATGCTCTGAGCCAGCCAAGTGGCAAAGGAGGAGAGAGGTCCAGGGTTCTGGGCTCTGGGACAGTTATTACAGGGATAAGATGCTTCCCAACACTGCGTGAGACTCCCTGTTCTTAAGTTTCATCTGTGCCGGTCGTTGATTGCAGAACGAAAAGGGTTCTGATCACTTAGCAGGCAGCCCGTTTGCTGATCTTGGCCGGCACGTGGTAACTGCTCCGTCCACTCCCTGTCTAGTACTGTATTTCCTCGCCTTTTACTCCACCAGTCTAATCCCCTAGGTAGAGACGAGTTCTCTGTTGGGAAGGCAGCGAGGTGCCCGCCACAGCCCGTCTATCTCTTCGCCTGCTTTGTACAATTCAGTTGTCTGTTCCCATCTGTGGCCCTTGCTCACAGCCCAGCTGGTCTCCCACCGTGGCACCACTTGTACTTCACAAAACACACCACACACTGCCAAAGCAGGAGTGGGAGGGGGGGTGGAAAGGTCGGGGCAGCAGATGCCTGCTTTCAAGCGAGGTCCAGGTTGTTGCTTCCCCTCCCTTGCGGTTCTGCCTTTTTGTCTTTCCAGTTGTCTTGTTTCGGGTTTCTGTCCTTTGTGCATATTCACTCTTTCTTTCTTTTTCTCTCTCTCTCTCTTTTTTTTAAAACTGTATAATTTATTGGGAAAGTTGTTTCAAAATAAATCCGCACTGTGCAAAAGGCGTCCTGGTATTTGGGGGCAAAGAGTGGAGTGGTTGAACTCTTTTCCAAAGATCTGTCGGGGATCCTCAGCAATGCTAAGGGATGGAGGGTTTTGGAAACCTTGCGAATCTTGGCAAAGGGGGGGAAACTTTGGCCAAGTTCACACATTGCACAAAGCCGTGCTGTTTTACTTACACGAGGGCAACCTTGTGCTGTGGAAACCAACCCAGTGAAACACAGGTGACCTGTGTTTAAGCGAGCCACAACGTAGCGTGATTTGCAAATACGGCCATTGAGATTTTACAACAGGAACTGAAAGCGGAACAAAACGTGGAGCTGAATGGCGAGTAACCTGGGAAATATTTGTATGGGCTCCTTGGTGCTCTCTGAGCTTGGTTGGTTTTCTTGCAGACGTCTCATTACCCAACTAGGTGACAGCATCAGTGTAGTTCACAGAAAGAAAGCCTGCAGTATTATGTGGCAGCTGTCAACGCTGCAAATACTGTATATTCTTGCTTTGACAATATGCAGAACTGTCTGGTATTTTTATAGTTAAATCAGGCAACAGTGAAAGGGGAGGAGAATAAGGAAAGCCCGGGAAAAAGAAACGGGAAGTGAATCACATCTTCCAAGTTAATTGGAAGATGTGAACCATGACCCCAAAATAGGGGAGGGGAAAATGCCTGGAATGTAGGTGCAACGGAAAAGAATCTCAGATCTAGGCATTTCCACCATGCCATACTGACACCTCTGTAACCTTAATAAATGCTTTTAGGATTAAAAATATGCCTGAAAGTCCTTTTAAGTGTTTCGTTAATCAGACACGTGACAGCAGCATCGTATATAATTCCGTATCTGCTCGTTCCGTGGAATCTGCTCTAATGTTTTAGGACCTCACCAGGCCCGTTTCGAACAGCCTTGCTTTGCTCATGGAGCCATCTCTTCTTAGGGCAGTGGTTCTCAACCTTTTTAATGCCGCGACCCCAACCGGTCGTAAGTCGAGGACTAAACCGGTTGTAAGTCGAGAACTAAACCGGTCGTAAGTCGAGGACTACCCAACCGGTCATAAGTCGAGGACTTTCCCTGCCCGGGAGCGCTGGCATGCGTGGTTCCGCCCCCTGCACCGGCCAAGGCATAGCTGGCAAGCGGCAGAGATGGAGCAGGCCGACCACCAGCTGGCCCAGCCCAAGGGAGGTAAGGCACCCGCCGGAAAAGGGGGAAAAATGGCGGACAAAAAAAATGGCAGACAGCCTTGCTTGGCGACCCCCATGAAATGGTTGATTGACCCCAAATGGGGTCCCGACCCACAGGTTGAGAACCACTGTCTTAGGGGGACCTTTTCTTCCACAGCTTTGCTTGGTGCTGCAAGGTCTCCTCTCTTTCTATGCCAAAACCTCCACATTTTTTTTTTTTTTTAAGCGCTTTGATAACCTCAGAACATGGAGGGCGTTGAGGATTCTTGACCCAAGCAATTATACGGAGGGCTGCTGACGGCAGGAAAATGAGCTTGGCTGCAGTGATAGGTTCCAAGTCACTGGGCAGGTTGGCTTCCTCCAGGTAGAAGCTGGTGTACAAATACCCAAAGTTAGGGGTTTTTCTGCTTCACCAGGCATGGGTCTGTGTGAAATTCTCCCTTGCAATGTAATGCTTCAGAGGAAGGAGGATTTCTAGCATGAGGAGGCGAGGTCGAAGGGAGGAGAAGGGTCAACCCATGAATCTGTGAAAAAAAAGAACTGGAAATTACGAGAAGGAAGGACAGGGGCAGCTGTCAGTTATTATTTTTCCCAGTTCCATTCCCACACCCCCAAAAGTGCTTTTAATCAAAACTCTTTTAAGGAAGCTGGACCCTCCCAGGGTTTGTTTTTTTTACATCGCAGAAATCTAGGAATTCTTTCTTTTTTTTTTTAACAATATTTTATTGAGTTTATATAGATAAGGGAAAATTAGGAACAATATGGATATGGTAAGGGAGGGGGATGGGGGAAGGAAATAGGGGATTTAGGGTAAAATAAGGAAAGGTACAATCACATATTTTAACAAACAAGCAACTGTCCGGATCATAATAACGAGTGAATATCTTAAAATAAGCTTAACTATAGCCATATTACAAACAGTTAATCAACAAATAAATTCATCTATTAAATAAACACAAATAATAAAATCTCAGAAAATCCTAACTATCAACATAGATAAAAATCACTAAAAATAACAATGTCATCTACCTATTAATTAGAACTTGGTTAGAAATTAATCATCTATTCTGAGATGTTAGACCCTTTTCAAATTCTAACATGTCTCTAACCATTGATAAAACTTATCCCAAGTTATAAAATAAACTGATGATTCAGGAATTCTTCTTTCAAAGGCTGAAACCATCCTCTCTAAGATAATTAATTTGCTGATAAACGTGACAGACAGAAATGTTATTTGGGTGATTGACCAATAAAGCATATTCAATAAAAACAAACAAAACAGCAAAGAACTATTAACGACCCCTTGTGGGCAAAACAACAACCAGAAGAGATCCTTTTCCAGACTGGCCTGTCAAAAGAGTTTGGAAAGTAAAGGTCGCGTTCTTTTTAAAATGGCTAAGAGTTATTAGCGATCCATCCGCAGGATCCTCAACTTCTCCCGGGCTCTCAAGAAAAGATTGGGTCAGCTCTCTTGTTGAGCTTTGCTCTCCTGCTGCCACCCCGCAATGATGCGTTCCCTAGTTGTGTGTCAAAGCGGTACACAGAGCACACGGTACTTCTGCAGAACCTCTTTCTGTCAGTTGATGGATGGATGGATCATCTGCAGAGGTTGCATTTCAGCCACTCGGATTTTTCTGTGTTTTCTAGCTCAGTGGTTCTCAACCTGTGGGTCGGGACCCCATTTGGGGTCGATCGACCATTTCACGGGGGTCGCCAAGCAAGGCTGTCTGCCATTTTTTTTGTCCACCATTTTTTTTGTCCGCCATTTTCCCCCCTTTTCCGGCGGGTGCCTTACCTCCCTTGGGCTGGGCCAGCTGGTGGTCGGCCTGCTCCCTCTCTGCTGCTTGCCAGCTACGCCTCGGCCGGCGCAGGGGGCGGAACCACGCATGCGTGGCGCTCCCGGGCAGGGAAAGTCCTCGACTTACGACCGGTTTAGTCCTCGACTTACGACCGGTTTAGTCCTCGACTTACGACCGGTTTAGTCCTCGACTTACGACCGGTTGGGGTCGCGGCATTAAAAAGGTTGAGAACCACTGCTCTAGCTTGTGAAGCTTTCTCCTTTGGAGGATTCGCTTCCTCCCTCCAGCGAACCCCCTTTCTCATCCAAATTTTCTCAAAAGTAATAAGCTCAGTGGTACCAGGTAGGTGCCCCACAGCAGCACAGAGCTGGGCACAGCAGGGTTGTTGTTGTTAGTTGCGAAGTCGTGTCCGACCTATCGCGACCCCATAGACAACGTTCCTCCAGGCCTTCCTGTCCTCTACCATCTTCTGGAGTCCATTGAAGCTCACGCCTCCTGCTTCAGTGACTCCATCCAGCCACCTCCTTCTCTGTCGTCTCCTTCTTCTATGGCCCTCCATCTTTCCCAGCATTAGGCTCTTCTCCAGTGAGTCCTTCCAAATGTTAGGCTTGTAGCCTCTATCTAATTTTTTTTCCCTAGACGTCTTAAGGTTTGCCAACTATAGTTGGAAGAGAGAAACCTATCTAGAGTTCTCCCCAGTCCGACACTGAACAACCAGCTTACTTCATTTGCAGCGTGTTTCCTTTTGAAGAATGTTCAAAAAGTTTGCCGGTCCGCAGTATGAACTTAGTAGCTTATTATCTGGCAGCCCTAGGGGATAAATCTCCCGTTTAATGTTCTTGGTTGTAGCTAGCCCCTGGGGATTGCGAGGGAAGAAAGCTAGGTAAAAATGTAAAAAGTTGGATCAGATTGAGTTAAAATCTCCTCCAAGCCACTGGACACTTGTGGTTTACATGATGCACTTTTTGGTCATTTCCATTAGCTGGGCTTTCCCAATTTTCTACGTTCGCTGAATCGTAAACTGACCAGACAAGTTGAGTTTGCACAACCTTCTCTAAGTTAAACTGCGGTCAGCAGTTTGTGGTTGAGCATTATGAGCATTATGTAGCCTGCCAAGGGCCTCGCAAACTCATTCTTCTTGAATGCAGTCTTATCCTGCAAGGGTGGGCTGGCTAAAAGAACCCAGTTAACCTTGGCAATAGAAGAAGGGGACGACAGAGAATGAGGTGGCTGGATGGAGTCACTGAAGCAGGAGGCGTGAGCTTAAATGGACTCCAGAAGATGGTAGAGGACAGGAAGATCTGGAGGAACATCCATGGGGTCGTGATGGATCGGACACGACTTCGCAACTAACAACAACAAACCTTGGCTGATCTTGAGGACCGCAAGCAAAGTTAGGCGTTCATTTGGACTCCTAGCTGGAGTTGGATGCAAGCACCCTTTCCACCACTGTGATTCTGTGCAGGAATTACTGCTTTACTCTCCAACATGCTCGTTGCATGAACATTCAGAAGATATGGAATCCTGCTGTGGGTTGTTCTTCCTTCCTCACTTGGCTACAGAGCCAGAACTGGTCCTCCCTTCTCTGCTGCCAGGCATCTGTGCTTCTCGTTGTTTGCAAACCTGTCAGAATCCTGGATTCTAGCAGAGGGTGCCCAGCCCCACCAGAGAGTTTTGGGATGAGCAGCTCAGGGGAAACCGAAGAGAAGCAACATGAAGTCCCTGCCGTTGCCATGACAGTGTCTCATGCCAGCTGTCCCCAAGACTGAATCTCCGTGGTCTAGAAAACACCACACGTGCTCTTGAATTTCATAGCTTGCTAAATCGGGGCATCGACCAAGCAGAGTAATAACCTTTTTGGGGTGGGCCAAAAGGTCCAAAAAAGGAAAAGAGGAAATTCTGCACCTCCAAGGCAATCATCCCTACCACCGTAGTTGTTCCTCGCTTCCATCTGGTTTCTATCTTCTTTAAAAATTGACATCTGTGTGAGTGCGTGTGAGCCTCACATTTTGTTTGGG